ACAGCGGCTGTTTTGGTTGCGTTCCTGGCCCAGGGTGAGATGGACGTTCTGCTCGAGGAAGTTCTGACGCAAAACGTAACTGGGTTGCAGTGGGTCGGCAGTGAATCCTGGATCACAGCAAATTACTTGGCTGAGAAGAGGTACGCTGGGATTTTAACCGGGTCGCTGGGCTTTGCGATAAGAAAGGCAAAAATCACAGGGTTGCGAGAATTTCTCTTGAAGGTGAACCCAAGTCAGGAACCCCAGAGCGACCTGCTGAGAGAATTCTGGGAAACGACGTTTCGATGCAGTTTCCGGTCCGGTACACCTGGCACAAAATTATGTTCTGGCTTTGAGAGACTTCAGGACGCGGACAACGCTTTCACAGACGTGTCAGAGCTCAGGATATCCAACAACGTGTACAAGGCCGTGTATGCTGTTGCTCACGCCCTTCATGGTTTGCTAAAATGTGGGCCAAGCGGTGACTCGGTGTCTCACTCGTGCATCTTAAAAGATCATTCAGAACAAAGACAGGTGAAAGCTTAGTTTGGAAAATGAATGGCTGCGTTTGTTTTGTTGTATTTAGTTTAGTTGTGTTTTTAGTTGAAATATCAGGTTATTTTAATTTTTTTTTTTGGTAAATTTGTGTGCTGTTGTGTCTTTTTTCTCTGTGGACAGGTTGCAGAACATCTCCAGAAGGTAAACTTTACACTCCAGTCTGGGGAGCGAGTGTATTTTGATGAAAACGGGGATCCTGCAGCAACCTATGAGCTCGTGAACTGGCAGAGAAACCAAGCAGGAGACGTTGTGTTCACGACTGTAGGGAAGTATGACGCTTCACAACCAAACTGGAACCAGTTCACCATGAGCAACGTGAAAATAACATGGGCCGCAGAATCCTGGGAGGTAGAAATTGATTTTTGACTATTGTTGAAGATTATTTGGTAACACTTTATTTGAAGGGGTGCGCATAGGACTGACATATCATCTGTCATGAGCATGAAGGAGTCTTCATGAGTGTTTGTGACTGTCGTCATGACGGGTCATTCAGTAAATAATGACACTTTTATTGCAGAGTTGATACTTTTAATGGGCATTTAGTGCAAATTTTAATAGAACTTTGCATTCAAAGGGTCAATATTGACCGAATGATGCAGAGTTTACACTTTTAATGGACTTTTAATGCAACTTTGCATTTACAGTGTCACCATTTACTAATTGAAATAGAAAAAATCTTTTTCTGTAGAATATCACAGTTAGGAACTCCGGTGTTTGCTGATTACAAATTGAAGTAATGATTGTTAAACTTTTAATTCCACAAAATAGACACAAAATATCTCTAAAATTGTCTAACTAGTTTAGCTATTGTTAAGAAAATAAATTTACAACTTATATAGACGTTCCCGTCCTTTGTTAAATGTGCAAACCTCGAGGTATCAACATGTTTGGTTAAACACTAAAGTAAGTTGAGGTCAGTTATGTTTATTTCAGGTTGAATTTTGCTTTTGTTCCAGAGGCCTCTGTCCGTCTGCAGTGAGAACTGCCTGCCGGGTTTCCGTCAGGCGATAATCAAAGGCAAACCCATCTGCTGCTTCTCCTGTGTTCCCTGCGCTGGTGGAGAAATCAGCAACACCAACAGTGAGCGATGAAATGTATTTCTACTTTCAGCTTTTGATTTAGCGAGATCACTGTGTAAAACTTTTACTTCTTTTACTAATGAAGCATTTTACAGAGTCAACCTGTTTTTTTCTCCTCATATTTTTCCTGATCAGATTCTGCAGAGTGCTCACAGTGTCCGTCGGAGTACTGGTCGAATGTCGACCACAGCAAATGTGTCCCAAAGGTGATTGAGTTCCTGTCATATGGAGAGACCATGGGGGCCCTCCTCACTGCCTTCTCGCTGTGCGGAGCCAGTTTAACGCTCGTGGTCTTGTGTGTGTTTTTCCGGTTTCGGCACACGCCTCTCGTCAAAGCCAGTAATTCAGAGCTGAGCTTCCTGCTGCTCTTCTCCCTGACTCTGTGTTTCCTCTGCTCTCTGGCCTTCATCGGCCGGCCCACTGAGTGGTCCTGCATGCTGCGTCACACGGCTTTTGGCGTAGCCTTTGCTCTGTGCATCTCGTGTATTCTTGCTAAAACGATCACCGTGGTGATGGCCTTCAAAGCTAAAAGACCAGCAAACACGTTTCCTCAGTGTTCAGCTCCGCTTCAGAGAACGAGCGTCATTGGGTGTACTTTAATCCAAGTGTTTATTTGTGTGGTATGGTTAGCTTTTGCTCCGCCGTTTCCACACAAGAATACAGTTTACGCCAGTGAAAAGATTATTCTAGAGTGTGATTTAGGATCAGCTGTGGCGTTTTGGCTTGTTTTGGGGTATGTTGGATTTCTGGCCCTGCTGTGCTTTATGTTTGCTTTTTTAGGCCGGAAGTTACCTGATAACTTTAATGAAACTAAATTCATAACCTTCAGCATGCTGATATTTAGTGCCGTCTGGCTCACATTCATCCCAGCATATGTCAGCTCTCCTGGAAAGTTTACTGTAGCTGTGGAGATATTTGCAATTCTAGCCTCAAGCTTTGGTTTGCTTTTTTGTATTTTTGCACCAAAATGTTATATTTTACTACTGAAACCTGAGAGGAATACTAAAAAACATTTGATGGGACGAAATCAGTCAAAAACACAATGAAAGAATAGTTGAAGTATTACAAACAAAAGGGTTAATTTAGTAAACTTTAGTTAAATACTAAAAACTTAAATTGACTATAACATTGTAGCTTATTAAGTGCATTGCATCCATTACACTTATTGGCTCTCATCATATACATATAAAATATTTTAATTTTATTGCTGTGGCATAATTTAACAGAAAGAATGTATAGAATCTCATATGTAATTATCTAAATAATTAATTCAGCTAATTATTATCCCACAAGTTTGGGGCAGTTATCAATTTGAAACTTCAGTCCTGTATGAATTTCATACTGGTTTTCTAATATGATCCACCCAGTGGCTCATTGGTAGCAGACCAGGCTCCAGATGGACTTAGGTGGGGGGGGCATGGATTTTTTTGGGTGGGAGCAGGAAGAAGGGTTTTTGTTCAACAATAAATGCACAAATAAAAGTTTATGTAAAATGAAAACAACATTTTGTTAACATAAAATAAGCTGAAATAAGAGAAACAGTGACATGTTAGTCTTCACGAGTCACCAGAAAATGCTGAGGAATTACGTTAAGATTAGCATAAACATTAGTTATGTTGTTGAAATCTCAGAATCTAATTTGTCCTCATTCTAAATTGGAGCTTCTGTGTTTTTTCATTGTTTTTGAACCAGAGAGAGAGAGAAAAAAGACTTTCTATGCAATTTCGAGGTTGCTCTGAAATTTGAGTGCTCTATGTGTTATACACTTTCTGTAACTATATACACATTAACAGACATGTATAAATAAATATTTTCAATGTTTTAGCTTCATTTATATGGAGGAATGTGTGGAGAGTGGGCTTTTGTATTTTAACCTACATTTATATAACTCTAGATCCAACCTATGCCAGCACACTTAGTATAAACATATTGCTCTTAAAATGGTTCATTCAAGTAAATAAAAATGGTGCAAAAGGAATTGATTTTAAAAGATCTTGAAAGACAACATATAAAATACATTTAGAAATATGATTAAAAGCTGTGTTTCTACATTATAGATTTGAGTGTAGAAGAAATAATAAATGCTAAAAAAAATCCCAAATGAATTAAAAGTTGCTTGCATCATCGTCACTCTGATTGGATTAGAGGACTTTAGCCGTCGTCGTCTCCTCCAGAGGTATAAAGCACAGCCTCATAGAGAAGCAACATTTCAGTGAGTCGGAGAGAAAGAGTGATTCTAGGTTGTCTTTTTCCTTTTTCTTTTTTAACATGTGGAAAAACATCTGCATAATTCTGATGTTTGTAGTTATTACTGTAGGATTTGCACAAGATGAAACAGCTTTCTGTGAAATGCTGGGGAGCCGAGAGCTTCCTCTGATGTCTAAGGAGGGAGACGTTGTTATAGGAGGAGCTTTTTCCCTTCACAGCCAAATCTCAAAGCTTTTACTCTCCTGGACTGAGTCACCAGAACCTCTCATGTGCTCCAGGTACTGCTGTGCTGATTCCTGCTCTTGTTTTAACCAGCTCTTTGAACTCTGACGAAATGCATAAACTTCAACGTGTCTTTTTTCCCCCAGAATTAACTTGAGGGAATTCCGTTTTGCTCAAACGATGGTGTTTGCCATTGAGGAAATCGACAACAGCAGCTCTCTACTGCCTAACGTCTCACTTGGTTATAAGATATTCGACAGCTGCGCCTCCACGTTGCCTACGACACGTTCAGGAATGGGCTTGATGAACGGGGAGGGAAGGGCTTTTGAAAGAAACTGCTCCGGCCAGTCGTCCGTTCATGCCGTAGTTGGAACCTCTGAGTCTTCTACGACCATCGTGATGTTACAAATTTCAGGGATTTTTCACATACCAGTGGTAAATGCTTCTGTTTATTTAGAGTCAGTGGGACTCAACTTGACTCAACTCAAGAGAGTTCATGATTAACTTATGAAATAAACTAGATTTCACACATTCCACAACATCCGCAGGTCCAGCAAATGCATGTAACGATATCGCAAGTGAGAAAGCATCTCTGAACACGCTCATGTTTTTGTGTCACTGTCTTTTCCAATAGATCAGCCACTTTGCAACATGCGCTTGCCTCAGTAACAGAAAGGAGTATCCCGCCTTTTTCAGAACCATTCCCAGTGACTACTATCAGAGCAGAGCGCTGGCCAAACTGGTGAGGCACTTTGGCTGGACGTGGGTCGGGGCAGTCAGAAGCGATAACGACTACGGTAACAACGGGATGGCGACTTTTATTGAAGCCGCGAGTCAGGAGGGGATTTGCGTCGAGTACTCTGAGTCGATCTCCAGGACTGGCTCCAGAGAGAACGTGGAGAGGGTCGTCAGAGTGATCAGCAGGGGCACAGCGGCTGTTTTGGTTGCGTTCCTGGCTTACGATGAGATGGACGTTCTGCTGGAGGAAGCTTTGAGTCAAAACCTGACTGGGTTGCAGTGGGTCGGCAGTGAATCCTGGATCACATCAGCTCATTTGGCTAAGAAAAGGTACTCTGGCATACTAAGCGGGTCGCTGGGCTTTGCGATAAGAAAGGCAAAAATCACAGGCCTGCAAGATTTCCTTTTACGGGTGAACCCAAGTCAGGAACCCGAGAGCAATTTGCTGAAGGAGTTCTGGGAAACAACATTTGGATGCAGTTTCCAGTCCGGTACACCTGGCACAAAATTATGCTCCGGCTCCGAAAGTCTTCGAGTTGTAGACAACGCTTTCACAGACGTGTCGGAGCTCAGGATATCCAACAACGTGTACAAGGCCGTGTATGCTGTTGCTCATGCCTTGCATAGCATGTTGAAATGTAAGCCAGGTGGTGAAAATTGCAAATTAAGAGAGCAGCCAGAGCCAAGACAGGTTAAAAATTCATGTAATATTTAAAATAAATGTCTGTTGTTCTAAAATACATGTAAAATTGTGCTTATTAACCTCTTTCTAACATTGATAGGTTGTGAAGTATCTCCAGGACATTAATTTTACTGTTGAGTCCGGAGAGAACGTGTATTTTGATGAAAACGGAGACCCTGCAGCAATTTATGAGCTGGTGAACTGGCAGAGAAGCCCAGCAGGAGATGTTGTGTTCACAACGGTTGGAAAGTACGACGCTTCTCATCCAGATGGAAACCAGCTGACCATGAATGGAGTCAACATCACCTGGGCCGCAGAATCTGTGGAGGTAGAAACAAATGAATATTTCTGAATTTTAAACTTTGTGAAACGAAACAATTGTAACATGGTACAATGAGATAAAAAGTAGTTACTTTTAGAAAGTTTATTTAAAATCTGTTAATTTACATAGCTCTTATATCTTTGGGAACTGATTGCTGAATCGATCTGATGTTTCAGAGGCCGCCGTCTGTCTGCAGTGAGAACTGCCTGCCAGGTTTCCGGAAAGCAATCATTAAAGGCAAACCCATCTGCTGCTTCTCCTGTGTCCCATGCGCTGCTGGAGAGATCAGCAACACGAGCAGTGAGTGAAACGAGTGAAACTCTTCTCCTTATTCATATTGTGAATGCACCGAACCCATTCCGGTTTTTATTTTTCCTGATCAGATTCTGCAGAGTGCTCACAGTGTCCGTCGGAGTACTGGTCGAATGTCGACCACAGCAAATGTGTCCCAAAGGTGATTGAGTTCCTGTCATATGGAGAGACCATGGGGGCCCTCCTCACTGCCTTCTCGCTGTGCGGAGCCAGTTTAACGCTCGTGGTCTTGTGTGTGTTTTACCGGTTTCGGCACACGCCGCCCGTCAAAGCCAGTAATTCAGAGCTGAGCTTCCTGCTGCTCTTCTCCCTGACTCTGTGTTTCCTCTGCTCTCTGGCCTTCATCGGCCAGCCCACTGAGTGGTCCTGCATGCTGCGTCACACGGGTTTTGGCGTAGCCTTTGCTCTGTGCATCTCGTGTATTCTTGCTAAAACGATCGCCGTGGTGATGGCCTTCAAAGCTAAAAGACCAGCAAACACGTTTCCTCAGTGTTCAGCTCCGCTTCAGAGAACGAGCGTCATTGGGTGTACTTTAATCCAAGTGTTTATTTGTGTGGTATGGTTAGCTTTTGCTCCGCCGTTTCCACACAAGAATACAGTTTACGCCAGTGAAAAGATTATTCTAGAGTGTTTCCTTGGTTCACCTGTGGCGTTTTGGCTTGTGATGGCATATTTAGGATTTCTGGCCCTGCTGTGCTTTATGTTTGCTTTTTTAGGCCGGAAGTTACCTGATAACTTTAACGAAGCTAAATTCATAACCTTCAGCATGCTGATATTCTGTGCCGTCTGGCTCACATTCATCCCAGCTTATGTCAGCTCTCCTGGAAAGTTTACTGTAGCTGTGGAGATATTTGCAATTCTAGCCTCAAGCTTTGGTTTGCTTTTTTGTATTTTTGCACCAAAGTGTTATATTTTACTACTGAAACCTGAGAGGAATACTAAAAAACATTTGATGGGAAGAGACAAGATTTAGGAAAAACAAAGTGCAGTGATAATATAGTCCACATTTTAGCTGTTATTAGTTTCTGAATGCTTTCATAATTTCTTTTGTTCTTTGTGTTTAGTTTTCACTAGTTATTTATCTCAAAGAGAAAAATCCATTCACCACCATTAGTTTAATCATTACTTGTTGATTTATCTGGTGGTACTATATCTACACTGAGCAGCCTCAATAATGACAAAATATGTGACGCTGATTACCAATCCCAGGGATTGTACTTTTTTATTACAGCACTTGATATTATAAAAGGCGTAGGTTGAAACAGTAAAGTAAGGTAAACGGCAACAAACATCTAATCGGAAAAAAGTTAATCAAAAGTTTATACAAATTACAGTGAAACCGAATGGAGGCAGGAAATCAGTTTGATAATTTCACAACACTAAGTGCAGATTAATTGAAACATTTTATTTGCAAATAGAGTTTTGTCTGGGCTTGACAGTTTCCGTGTTATTGGGTCCTTTGATCTGCAGTGCCTATTCCAGGGTGTAAACTCTTTGCTTTACTTATTAAAAAGTCGTAAAAAGAAGAACAGCATCTCTGTGGTCCTTTTGCAGCTCTCGTCTCCATCACTGAACGGCATAAGACACATCTATGGGGTTGAAATATCCTTTTCCGATCCCAGTTTATAGCAGAAATCTTGACCAAAGAATTAAAAATGTCTCAATCCAAGCAAAACTTCTGCGTCAGGTGGAGAAGTTTTAAAGAAAAAAAAAAAAAAAGAAAAAAAAACACTCTTTGTTTTATTGTGATGTCTTGCAGTCTTAAACGTCTACTTCTTCTTTATCACCTTTAACAATGACATTTCCTCTGACATCCCCAGCTGTCTGGAAGAGAGGAGCTAGAAAAGTAATCCTAAAATTTTAAGTCATCCAAAGCAAAGTGTCAAGAAAGAATCATAATAAAAAAGACAAAAATGTTATAATAAAACTGAGTGAACGTATAATTGTTTCTTCAGTTAACTGCAAAAAACAATCCTAGCATTTAACACAGATGAATTATTAAAGACTACATGTCTGTGTCCAGGAAAATATATAATATAATAAAAAAAAATGCAGTTAAACAGTGATCAGGTGAGATATTTTAGCAGTTTATGTTGCCTAAAAAAATGCAGTTTTTCTGCAGAAACCACAGAAAAATGAATGAGAGAAATTGTGGCCTCTGAAAATCATTGGCAACATTTTCGTAAGAATGTAGTCAAGCATTCTGTTGTGTCGTTAAAAGTATGTTTTTATGATAAAAAACAATTTAAAGAAACATTTACAGGAGAGCATGCAGGACTTAACGGTCTGCTTCCCTATCAGGGACAAAACAAGCAACGTGATTGGTGGGGACGATGAAAATATTCAGAATCAGCCCTGCTGGGGTTTGATGTGTTCCTATAAAACAGTCAGACTATACCTTTCCTGTCACTTAGGACTTGTGTGCTAAGTACTTAGGTGAGGAATGATGCTGCTTATTGTGGGCCTGTTACTTTTCTGTCTTGTGGATGTAAGAGGGGAAAACCCTTCATGTCAAATATACGGGACAAAAGAACTGTCTCAGTTTTCTAAGGAGGGAGATATCATCATCGGAGGCATTTTCTCCTTCCACCAGAACCCGGTCACAGTCAGTCCAGAGCTCACAATCAACCCGGGAGCAATCCAGTGTAAAGGGTAAGACAGTAATAGGTTAAGGATGAATCTTTTGTCATCATGTAATTTTTATGTCTTTTTTATTTTTTTACAGGCTGGAAATAGGTGAGCTTCAGTATGCGTACACCATGATGTTTGCGATAGATGAGATTAACAATAGCACTGAACTGCTGCCAGATGTGACACTCGGTTATAGGATCTTTGACTCCTGCCCAAGCATACCTCTGTCTATCAGGTCATCGCTGAATCTCATGAATCCATACGAAGACAGAGAAGGGTTGTGCAACAACCTCTCCAGCGTGTATGCCGTCATTGGGGACACAACTTCCACCTCTACGATAGGCATAGCACGTACGCTGGGTCCCTTCAGGGTGCCTGTGGTGAGTGGCACTCATGCATTCTGACTCACTGGAAGGAATGATGCGATTTAAATTTTCTACTTTTCTTTTCAGATCAGTCATTCGGCCACTTGCGCATGTCTCAGCGACAGGAGGATCTACCCATCCTTCTTTCGAACCATACCAAGTGACATTCATCAGAGCAAAGCGCTGGCAAAGCTTGTGAAACACTTTGGCTGGACTTGGGTGGGAGCGATCCGAACTAACAACGACTATGGAAATGGTGGCATGGCCAGCTTCTTGGAAGCAGCAACAAAGGAAGGCGTGTGTGTCGAGTATTCAGTCGCCATCTACCGAACCGACCCCAGGAAGTCATTCCTACAAGTCGTGGACATTATCAGAAAATCCACCTCAAAGGTCATAGTTGCTTTTGCAGATGCAACAGATCTTGATGTACTCATGAAAGAGCTTCACGCCCAGAACGTGACAGGCCTGCAGTGGGTGGGAAGCGAAGGCTGGATCACGTATCGTTACTTTGCCTCTCCGGCGAACTACGCCGTGGTTCAGGGGGCCGTGGGCTTTGCAGCGCTCAACGCTCACATCCCTGGGCTGCAGGAGTTCCTCACCAACAGCAGACCGTCCACCGCACCGGGAAATCAGGGACTCGTTGAGTTGTGGGAAACGCTCTTTGACTGCACCCTGTCAACAAAACCAGGGATTTACCCGCAGGATCGTGTTACAGCCTGCAGCGGCGCAGAGAGCCTGTGGGATGTGAAGACGCGATTTACTGATGTTTCAGATGCCAGCCTGTTGAATAATGTCTACAAAGCCACATACGCTGTTGCTCATGCTTTGAGCATGGTGTTTAATTGCAAAGATGGAGACGGGCCCTTTGAGAACAATGCTTGTGCTGACAGGCAGAAATTTCAACCATGGCAGGTAAACATGAACAAAAACAACAATGTGCTCGAATCCAAACAGCAATGATGTGGTAATCATGAGAAACTCACTTCCCCCCCCTGCAGGTGTTGCACTACCTAACGCAGGTGAACTTCACCAGTAAAACTGGTGAAAATGTTTTCTTCGACGAGTTCGGTGACCCCGTCGCACGTTACGCACTGGTAAACTGGCAACGGGATGAGACAGGGTACATACAGTTTGAAACTATCGGTTATTATGATGCCTCCAGATCTGAAGGTCGGCAATTTGAGATGGAAGCTGGAGTGAGAGCCATCTGGGCAGGAGAAAGTCACGATGTGAGTCAATTTAGATTCTCTGCTCAATGCGTGGTTTGTTTTTACACCGTTTCAGCTTTAAATATCGTCTCTGCGGATCAGGTACCGACGTCCATCTGCAGCGGCACCTGTTTGCCTGGCACTCGCCGGGCGTTCATTAAAGGCAAACCCGTCTGCTGCTTTGACTGCATCGTCTGTGCTGAGGGGGAGTTCAGCAATGGCACAAGTGAGGCGGCGGGATTTGTAGCCTTTACCCTGGTGCTCATTGTGTTTCTGCTGGGTAAAATCGCTGCCAGCACTTTACTGGTGTACCTGAAGATGTGTTCTCTGTACAGCTTAAACGTGTTTATCCTTTCAGATGCTGTGAAATGTGAAAAATGCCCTGATGAGTACAAGTCCAGTGAAGAGAGGAACCAATGTCACTTAAAATCGGTTGAGTTCCTCACCTTCACAGAGCTAATGGGTATAACGTTGGTCACCTTGTCCCTCCTTGGTGCAATCTCAACAGTGGCTGTAAGCCTGATATTTTTCTGCCAAAGACACACGGCCATTGTCCGAGCCAACAACTCTGAGCTGAGCTTTCTCCTGCTGTTCTCCTTGGGTTTGTGCTTTCTGTGTTCTCTGACCTTCATCGGCCGGCCCTCCGATTGGTCCTGCATGCTGCGCCACACAGCGTTTGGCATCACCTTTGTCCTCTGTGTGTCCTGCATTCTGGGGAAAACAACGGTGGTTCTGTTGGCCTTTCGGGCTACCGTTCCTGGCAGCAAAGTGACAAAATGGTTTGGCCCTCCACAGCAGAGACTCAGTGTCTTAGCTCTCACACTTGTTCAGGTTTTGATTTGTATAATATGGCTAACAGTCAGCCCTCCCCATCCATTCAAAGCCACTCAATATTACAGTGAGAAGATCATACTGGAGTGTGCACTTGGATCACCTCTGGGCTTCTGGGCCGTATTGGGGTATATCGGGGTTTTAGC